TCGCTCAGTGGTTAACAGCATTGGTTACTCTTCTGGAGGACCTAGGTTCAATTCCCAGCACTCACAACTGTCTGTAACTCCAGTTCCAGGAGATCCAGCATCCTCACACAGCCATACATGCAGGCAAAACACCAGTACACTTAAAATAAAAATAAATAATTAAAAAAAAGAAATTATTAAAAAAAAAAAAACTGGAGCATTGGTGATCCCAGCCATTATGGGTGGGTCCACCCCTGGGCTGTTGATGTCCTGGGTTCTATAAGAAAGCAGGCTGAGCAAGCCATGATGAGCAAGCCAGTGAGCAGCACCCCTCCATGGCCTCTGCATCAGCTCCTACCTCCAGGTTCCTGCCTTGTTTGAGTTTTTGTTCTGACTGCTTTTGTGATGAACAGTGCTATGAAAACATAAGCCCCCTAAACCCTTCCCTCTCCAAGTTGCTTTGGTCACGGTGTTTCATCATAGCAAGAGTAACCCTGACTAGGACAGTGTTATTTTCTATTGGGCCTACAGTATACATGTTAGCAAAAGTCGGATTTTCACTACCCCATTCCACTGAGCTGAAGAGGCATTGTTGAGAGCAGGCTGTACCTTACCCTAAGTTGTTGCATTATTATGTAGAATGTTGGTTTTTCAGACTTCGCCTTCCTGTGAGTGATACCATTTTACAAGAAGCATTTGACTCCATTTTGAAGATGGAAGATGGCTCTGTATCTGGGTTGATACAAGAATGGCTAGCACTATTCGTGCAGCACAGACTGATAATTAACTTGTTACTGGGAATAGAATGGGTCCTATTCACAAATGTATTGGGTAACTGGGACACATGAGCATATTGATATATTCAGGAAAAAACATTTCTGAGGATTCAGTAGTCACCCCAGAGAGATGAGAGGCTCCAGCTCCCTCATCTGGGCTCCATGAAAAGATGGAAAGCCAGTACTGCAGTGGTGAAGACCCATTGGTTTGTTATTGACCACCAATATGTGCATCAAGGGACCACAGGCAGAAGACCTGACCGCCTCGGGTGCTTTGATCTGCCTTGGTTCCCGGTTTGGATGTGGCCAACTCCAATTGCTGTCGCCTCTCTTCTGTTCACCTGTGTGTGCTTTCTGTCCATCCGTCTGCTCTGTTTGTCTGCACCTGGTTCTTCCCTTTCACCTCAGCTGCTGGACTCTAGCTCCGACCCTGCCGTCTGACTCCACATCAGCAGCCCTAGTGCCTCCAAGACTCCATTACATGTGTATTAATTTCCCAGCTGCTTGGAAACTGCTTGCCTTTTTAAGTCCCTAGTCATTTTGTGATCTACATCTATACATACAAACGTATATTTGTGGGCATTTTGCCATGTGATGTGCAATGTGTGATGACAGTTAATATTAGTTACTAAGAGTACTTGATATTGAATTAAAAGAGCCTGCGTTTGCAGGAATATCTTGTAAATTAGACATTGTGGGAAGACATAGAATTTCCATATATATTCTTGACCTAGTGTTCTTATAACAGACATGTTTTTATATGACTCTGTCCTTCTTTCCTTCCATGTATTATTATTATTATGCATATATCCTCTATGTGTTACAAAGTGAAATCCAGGGTTTTTTTATTATTAGCTCTATAGCCCCTTCTAGAAGCTGGAAGGAGAAAAGTAAACAGGCAGGTGTGGTTTATGGTTTTTGTTAGGCATGTTTGCTTTATGGGTCACCATATTCATGTTCCCATTCATTGTCATTTTCTTATTTCTGTAAACTTTTATCTCTATTCATTTTTTTGTTTTAGTTGCATTTCAGTGTGGATTATGTATCCATTATTTAATTCTGTTGCTTTTTAATTATTAAAAGAAGGGAGGAAATGACCATTTTCCCTGGTGTTTTAAATTTGCTGTTACTTTAATGATGTGTTTTCTCCTGTGCTTTAGAATTGCTGTTGGAGTTAATTTTCTTTAGATTGAAGAACATCTTAAATAATCTGTAACATGAACTGTCTAGCAAAGCATTTCCTCTTTGATTGTGTGTGAGTTTTTATTTTCTCTTTTGAGATGTTGGTTCTACTGTTGTAGACTAGATTATTTTGTGTTTCAGAGTGACTGCTGCCCCACAGCTTTCTAGCACTCACCATTTCTGATGGGGAATAACTGTGGAGCTGCTGGAGAGTCACGTTAGTTCTTGTAGCGTTCCATCCTAGATTTCCTATTGGACAAACAGTGTCCGAATACCTTGCTTCACTTCAGACATGATTCTCTTAGTTTTCTGAAGACAGTACCCAGAGCCGCTTTGAAACCTGTGTGTGCTTGTTTACCTGGGGGCAGTTTCTGTGACTTCCCTTCCTGTGCCAATCACACTGTCATCTTTGGATGCAATGCTTTATTGAAAATGCAATGTTTTCGAAAATGTGTGTTTCTCCTTCCAGATACTGACTGGTTCTACTGTCCACCTTTCCAGGAGATATTATTTGCTTGCTTGTGACTTGGCTGATGCATTCGACTTGAGACTTCTGCACAGAAAGCATCTGATGTCACTTTCTCAGGTGTTAGAAAGTTGGGCATGTATATTCATTGAGATGGCAGGTTTGGCATGCTTGGCTCTGGCAACTGTGGCCTCTCCTCCTGCTGTCTACTGGTACCCTTCTGGCTGTTCAGCAGCATCCTTTGCTAGCTGTTCAGCTCGAGGTTTTATAATGCCGGTGGCATACTTTCCCTGCAATCTGACCCAGTTAGAGGCTGGCCTTTCTACAGGAGTAGGTTTAAGACCAATGTTTAAAGTTTGTTTTGATCCTAGTGGGTGGGAGTTTGCTAACCTTGCTTCCTGTGTCTTCTGGTAAATATCCAGCCTTCCACTCAGCTTTTTTGGGTCTCACGTAGATTCCAGTATCCTCTTAATTGCTTGTTATAATAATCTCCTTTTTCTAAGAATGTGCTTAGTCTGAATTTCTCTGTTTTTTTTTTTTTTTTTTTTTTGAGGGGGTTTTATAGATCTTTAATCTTAGACCCCTCCTCTCCCACTATGAAACCTTACTACTGCTCTGGAGCTGTGGATGAGCATGGAGCCCTGTTGCTTTTGGAGTGACACCCACTTCATCGTGCTGCCACTGAAAGAGAAGAACTGGGCTGTCGTCCTGCCTCTCTCTTTTCCTGGCATAGAGGCTTTGCTCTGCCCGTGAGCAGGAGAGCATCTGGGCCACATTGGCATGGTTTCAGTGTTTGCACAAGGTGCCGAGGGGACCACAGCCTCCCTGCTTTTTCCAGAATGAGCTGGAGCCAGCCGAGTGCCCCCAGCTTTTGTTTGTTTTGTTTGTAGGTCCCCTCCCCCCACGCTCCCTGCTTGTTCCCCTCTTCCCTCTCTCCCTCTCCTGCTTTAAGCTCTGCTGCCTCCTGAAGCTGCTGTTCCATTGAGCTGAGGATGGAGAAGAAGCAGGTCACTGCCTAAGGGCCACACCCGCTTTTCTTTTTTCAGCCGAGACTCAGATTGTCTTGAGTAGGTTTTTATCTGCTGAAGACCCTTGGGGCAGCTCCCATAGGCTTTCCGTGGCTGCTTTAAAAATACCTTTCATACCTTTCATTGCCTGTTTCACTGGGAAAAGCCTGTGAAGCTCTTTGCCCTCCCAATTTGGATATCTTATATTCTCTCTTAGTTTTTTCCTTTTCTTTCTTCTTTCTTTATGGCCTGACGTGGAATTCTAGTACTGCCTATAGGTAGCTGTCAAGGAAATTTAATATTTTCCTTAAAAATCAGGGTGAAAGTGTTTCTTTCCCGTTTGACACTTAAATGTCCCTTGTGGTCGGTGTTGGGCACTGATCTCCCTCCCTCCCTTTTGGCTTCACATTTGGACTTGATGTGCTGGAAACATTGCTGCCATTATAAACTATCTCCTCGGTTCATACATTAGCTCTGTTCTCACCCAGCTGGCTGTAAACTGGCTTCCGTAAACTCCCACGTGGACTGTCTTGCTCAGATGATGTTCTCCTCAGAGCACACTATTCTATTGTTTATTGCCTTCATGAGCTGAGATTGTCATGTAACAGTTCTGTGAAGAAATGGCATGTTGGAGTGAAGAGAAGGGGTTGGTTGACTGCCCACCATGGATGCTTACTTTGAGGCTACTTAATGGGGTAGCTGTCTGGTAAGGACAGTCAAGACCATGACACAAGGGAAACCCTATTGAAAGTAGAGGCCAGAAGGTCAGTCATGGAGGATCATCCTTAATGTGCATTTCAGTTGCAACCATTAATAAGACAGAGCTTTCCTTGTAGAAATGGAAATGAATGGATGCTTTGCCTGAGGAAGTGCTGCATGGACATTATATTTGAAAAGAACTGTTTGTAAAATGAATTAGAGCAAGACATAAATTCATTGTTATTCAGGTTGTTTAGTCTCAAATGGAGATCCTGGGGAGTTTGTTTCTTTAATGATCCAATGTGTAAATTAAATTTTCTGAAAGCACACTCATTTCTAAGCATTCATTTGAAACTCATTTTAATTGTTTCACAATAGTATCTCTCCCTCCTGTCTTCAGGGAAAACCCAGTTGTCTTGTAACATTCTGTTATAGAGTTTGACCTCAGTGACTTATGATGGAAAGGATTTTTTATTTCATTTATTTCCGTGTGTGTAAGATGTGTGAGGGGGCATGTGTCACAGCATGCTTGTGAAAGTCAGAGGACCATCTGTGGGAGTCTGTTTTCTCCTTCTACCTTGTGGGTCCCAGGGATCAAACTCAGGTCATGTTGCCTGCCTGATGGGGAAAAAAAGTTGAATATATAATGAAAATAGTATTTCCATATTGAAGTGCATGCATGGAATTGCTCTTCTATGAAGTCAATTTTTAAATTTTATAAGTTAATTGTGAATTGAGCAAACATGTTTTTTTAGATGCTTTCTTGAGAAAGATTTTTAAAACTATGAAGATCTCATTTTGGAAGTGAGACGTAAAATTTAGAGTTTTCCTTCAAATGCTCTGTAGGTTAAGTAAATGTGCTTTTCTTTCTTCTTTTGTTTTGCCTTGTAGGCAGCAGGGGCAGTTCGACCTCTGGTGTCCACTGTCATCAGTCCTGCTGCTGATGGCTGCTTAGACCATGCCCTGGACCGGGCCAAACACAGGGCAAGTGAAATGCCACAGGCTTTTCTCTTTGATGTGATCTATGAGGCATATCAGCAGGTAAGAGTCTGGGCTTTCCAAAAGCCACTGTTCTGTTGTGCTTTTTAAAACTATGTCTGCATTTGAATTTTCAGAAAGACCTACGAGACTCAGCTTGCAGCTGTACTCCAGGGCAGAGAGTACCACAGTGGAGAAATGTGAGGACTCTATTGGCTTAGAGCAGACACTCAGGCAGGGCGGGAAGAATCCATCTGGAAGCTGCTTAAGCTCTCTCCTTCTTTTGATGGGTCGCAGAGAGCAATTCCTGGAGCAATGGAAATGCAAGACCATGTGTGTTATGCTTAGAAATCCCTAGAGGACCAGAGTCCGAGGTTGCGGGAGGTGGGAGGGAGGAGGCTTGTCACATAGATGTCCTCTGGCCAGCACATCCAGAAATTCTATATTCTTAGGAGAAATGCAGATATTCACTGTAAACGAGGCTATGCACTCAGATAAATCTCCCATACCAGTGCCCTCCCAAACACTGGTCCACACCTGTGTTATAAACAGGTCTTTTTGAGGACAGTAGTTTTAGGCCTAATATGGTGAATTTTCTGCACAGATACCTGGACATCTTAATTAAATATTTAAGTTAACTAACTATAAAAATATCATCCCGGAAACTGATACTGGAATATCTATACTTTTTCTTTCATTTGGAAAGCTTCTGTACTTACATAATTTTATTGCTATTTATTTACATATTAGAATAAGTCATTATTGAGTGTCATATAATTGACTTTCTTAGTGACACAAGCTGGAGTAACTCAGTGCTGAACTGGCATTGGATAGTCAGTAAGTGTGTGGGAAGAGATGGGCAGTTAGGGTTATCAGGTAATGAGAACAAAGACGTTTATACTGGATATGTTAGATATAGTTAGGTTAGGGAACGGTAGTGGTTATTCCTATGCATACATTCAATTATCAATACTTGGCTCCAGTTACTTTTAGAAGATTGATTATGTAGAATTTTATTTCAATGAGAAATTCAGCCATAATTTTTCTTTCCTTAAAGTAATTTGGAATATAGGACATTACTTTGGGAATTTTATTTTAATTAAACTCATTATTCTGTTACAAATTTCTCCAAGTGGAGTTCACATATCCCATAGACCAAATGTTGCTGAGCCATTAGCACATTTCTGAGATTTGTGAAAGTGTTTACTAACTTTAATATGTCCCTTGTGATTGTTGTGATTTGAATATGAACTGTCCACCACAGGCTCATGTATTGAACACTTGGCGCCAGTCAGGGGGTACTGTTTTAGAAGGCAGTAGAAACCTTATGATGGAGGCTGGAAGAAGTAGGCTGTGGGTGCCATGCCTTGGACAGAAAAGTCTTGTGCTGTTTTCTTTTATTTTACTTTTTGGTTTCTTGAGACAGGATTGCGTGAGTCTGACCTCAGACTATCTGTGTAACCAAGGCTGGCCTTGGCATCCTGTGCTGAAGTTATGAGCATGAACCACCATGCCTGCCCTGGTCTCATTTCGTATCTTTTTCTTTGCTTCCTCACCACCATGATATGAGTGGTTCTTGTCTTTGATGCTGGACTGAAACCTCTGAAATCATGAATTAAATATATCCTTCTTCCCTTCAGTTGTTCCGTCAGGTGTTTTGTCATGGCAATGAAAAGCCCAAGACATAGGACATATTGATGATAAATGGGATAATTTAGATAGTGTAATATGATGCTCTAATATTTAGAATGGATTTGAAGGTAAAATTGGGAAAGTCTCCTAGTAGATTGAATATCACATACCAAAGATAGGGAAGAGTCATTAGCCCAAAGACTTGCTCTGAGAAGCTAGGATGCAGTTATCTTTTTCTGAGATGGAAGTGAAGGTTTTAGGGGACCACTTACAAGATGTGATTCTTTCTAGACCTAGGATTGTGAATGTATATAAAGTGTAGTGAAGAGTAAAGACTGCTATGTGTAGAACACAGAATTGCTCCATGGGATGTCTGATGGGTTGGTTAATAGCAGGATGATGCTAAAAGCTCTTCCTTCATCTTGTATCTTCCTCTTCTGTTGCTTTAAGACTTGGGATCAGATCTCAAGGCAACTGTTCATGAAACTGTTAGTCATTAAAGACTGCATAGAACTGTTCCCTTTCAAGGCTGAAGAATTCAAAAGAGGAGAACTCAGGTATTTTCAGTGGATTCTCAACTTCCAGCTTCTATAAGTTCTTTTCCAGAATCCTGGAGTGGAGTCTAAAAGTCTTCAATCATTTCCCCAAGTTTTTCAGGGGCAGGAGAGCCTTTTAGGCTATCATTCCATGTTGAGGAGCAATCACAAAATCGAATTATTTTCTTTAAGCAGAAGCAATACGGAACAAAATTACCACTTGTTTCAGGACCACAGTTTTGGTAGACAGGCATCCTGTAAACAGAAGCTGATTGGCTTCCTTAACATCAACAATTCTTTAAGCACCAGATGGAAAGATGGTATTGACTAGAACTGGGATAATGACCAATTAGACCACAGTTTGATAGAGACTGCTGGACTCTGCACACTTCTTGTTCCCCTTCTGTGCAATCATAGAACTTATGTTAACATCTTAAGCAACAGTGCTTACTTACCAAGCCAGGGTTACCTGGTTATGATCTGTGGGAATGTCATCTATCAGGCCTGGTTGGAAGGTCACAGCAAGACTGAGGCTGAGACAAGCTCATTGCAAGCAATCAGACTTTTTATACCCTTATCAGAAACAGAATACAGTGGCGGTTTCCAGGATCAATACAATGGTAGTTGCCAGGATACAGTGATGTTTTCAGGCTATACAGGATATACAAGATTAATGTCAGCTGGGCAGCGGTGGCACACGCCTTTAATCCCAGCACTCAGGATGCAGAACCAGTCAGATCTCTGCAAGTTCGAGGCCAGCCTGGTCCACAGAGCAAGATCCAGGGTGGAGAAACCATGTCTCAACCCCCCCCCCCCTGAAAAAAACAAAACAAAACTAAACAAAAACTAATGTCTAAGACTAACTGTCTTGTCAAACTTTTATATGTTGTACTGACTTCTAGGGAATGGAGAGAAACACAGGCAGCCTGAATGCTTTCCTGCCTAAGGGAGTGCCTCGGTTTCTCAGGAACTGGAAGTCACACAGTGTTCCAGGAACCATGGACACTATACTCTGAAAGCCTGTTACACATGCCTTTCAAGGCAGCTAGACCAAGCTGCCATGATTTGCTGCAGTTCCCCCTTTTTATTTTTTTAAATGCAGAATATGAAAGTCAGTCTTCAAAGCAGGCATGGAGTAACAAATCAGTCTCAAGGCTGTAATGCTTCTCAGTATAACCACCAAAAATTCTCACAGTTTAGAAGTTCCACTAGAGACACGAAAAATAATGACCCAAAATCTTTGCTAGGTTTTACACAGCATTGGAGAAGGGTGATTCATTTAACTTTGCATGCTAAATGGTTAATACTTCATCATTCAAGGCCTCAACATCAATGCTTACATTGTCATGTGACTATATTCCTGTAAGATGATTACAAATCTGATTCCAGTTAAATTGAGAATAATTAACATAAATAAGGATGTTTTTGTCTTCCCAGTTAACAAAGTAAACACAGGATCAGGCGCACTGTGCTCGGTGTGTCTCAGCAGTAACAAGCGCATTCAACAGAGGCAACATATCAAGGAGCAGGGATTGATTCTGCAGTCACAGCCTCCCGCTGAGACTTTGCCTCAGTCACTGTTGGTAGAGACTCAGTTCTTGGCTTGATGACTCCGGCACTCTGTTCATTGTGTTTTCTTCAGGGGAAGCCTCTGTAGACATTCTTGATCCTTTCCATTCATCTTCCACAGATCGAGTCAGACTTTCTGGTGTCCACACCAGCTTTTCAGCACCCTGAGGAAACACGCAAACATAGCCACAGCTCCCGTGAAGTTCTAGATCTGGGCTGTTCCATTGACCAGGCGTAACATCTCTCTAAAGGACCATGATCCTAAATTGTTTTGGAGGGGCCCAAAGTGCTCTACAGCAGTAAGGCCAAATTTAAGATTTGGCTAAGCCTTGCCCAAATTAAAAACAAAATTAAAGTGTATATAGAATAGAATATAAAAATATCGTGAGGAGTAGCCATACTACCCTTTTCCCTCTCCTTTATTTTAAATAACGTTTAAGTTCTCCATTAATTTTTTCCACAAAAGATTGACTTTGAGGGTTATGTGGAATGCCTGTGATGTGGCTCACAGCATTCTGTTGGCAAAATTCCTGAAAGGGTCTGGCAGTGTCTGCAGGACCATTGTCAGCTTTTAATGTTTCACAGGGCCCTGAAACAGTACAGGCTCTTAGTGAAAAGGTGATAACACCCTTAACTGCCTTTTCTGATAGGGGAACAGCAAAAATGAGCAACGAGTAGGTGTCCACAATGATGCGAACATATTTCAGTCTACCAAAACTAGGGTCACAAGTAACATACATGAGCCAAATATGATGTGGCAATAATCCTCAGAGTTATGGCATAAGAGGGAAGAGCCATGACACTAACTTTTACCCATGGAGGGCATTAAACATGTTTTCAAGACTGAAGCATTTTTTGATGAAAGTGCACATGAGGTTCTCATGCTTCCTTTAGACTGTTCGTTCCTAGGAAAAGAGCCAGTGATAAAGGGAATCTGCCTTTGCATTTCCCTCAGACAGAGGTCCTGAAAAATTAGAATATGGCCAAAATAAACTGTATTTTCCCACCACTGCAATTCCTGTTGAATTAATTGTAATAAATGACGATTAGAGGTGCCTGGTGAAGTGATCCATGCTGCTTCTAGACACTGCACTGCCAGGACTGTGTATTGTGAATCAGAGTTTAAGTTTAGAGGTTGACGGTGGCATTATAAGGTGTTGCAAATCATGCGCCATTCCGTCTGCTGTGCAGAAGCACTTGGGTGAGTGAAAATCAGCGAAGCATCTCTAGAAACCAGGGCACCTTACCATCTTCCGTGGCATGTACTAATACTACTTATGTAGAGGGCATTAGCTGAAGCCTGGTACTTTTAAAAAATAGAATAGC